AGACTCTGGAAGGCCGGCACCCTTGCCCAAAGTCACACACACAGCAGAGACCAGACGTGGCACTGTTTGGCCCTGAAACATGTTTTTTTCTGCACTACCCTAGACTGCCTTCCAGCTAAGCTAACCTGTTTTACTGTGGGTGAGCACAGGTGCTGGGTCCCGTGGTGACTTGCTCTTGTCTTCGGTGTAGTGTCACAGGATCTAGGCTGTGGCTTTCAGGCTCTGTTGATTTGGGAGAAGTGCCACTTGCAAGTGTGTGAAAATCTCCCAATCTTTGAGGGACTTTCTACAAATCAAAACCTCTGCCTGGGTTTGTCTCTGCAAACAGAGATGCACCTCTGTTGCTCGGAGTGTTTTTCTGCTCCACAGGTATTGATTAAGCACGTGTTAGAACAAAATGACTATGTGTGGTGTAGGTAACAGGGCACTGGACTAGAAGCCAGGAGAGCCATGGTCAAGTTCAGCTCTGTGCCTAACTTGCTGTGGATGGCAAAGAAGTCCTGTCGCCTTTCTGCACCCCACTTTCCACATCAGAATGTAAGAGGTTAAACAGGATTGTGATTTTCAACTTTTTTATTTTTTCAGCACTGATACTGTTTCTCTCTCTGAACCCTAAAATTAAAGAAAAACAGATAAAAGTGGAACTCCCCTAGTAAGGCCTCCCCTCACCACTCTCACCCTCCCCCCTTGTCCCCCACCCCCAAACCCCCAGGCTCCTCAGGGTGCAATTTGGACTGCAAAGCTCCTAGGCAGCTCCTAGGCCCTGTTGCTTCTCTTTTTTTTTTTTTTTTTTTTTGATGAGGAAGATAAGCCCTGAGCTAACATCTCTTGCCAATCCTCCTCTTTTTGCTGAGGAAGACCACCCTGGGCTAACATCCATGCCCATCTTCCTCTACTTTATACGTGGGATGCCTGCCACAGCATGGCTTGATAAGCAGTGTATAGGTCTGTGCCCAGGATCCGAACCAGCAAACCCCAGTCCGCCGAAGCGGAGCGCATGAACTTAACCACTATACCACTGGACCGGCCCCTGCCCTGTTGCTTCTGATAAGCAGGAGGCATGTGCTCCCTTAGCCTTCTAAAGTAGATGGGGAGTTGAGGCCAGTGGAATACAGCTTTGGAGTCCAGAAGCCAGGGGCCTGTTACCAAGGTGGTTCTCCGAGAAGTGAATCAGAGATGTGTAGACCTAGCTTCAAAATCTAACTTGACTCTCCAGAATGACATTGAGCAAGTCACTTAACCTCTCTGAGCCTCTGTTTCCTTATCATTAAAAGTTGGAACAACTCTCTGCAATTAAACAAGATAATATGTATAGAAAATACCTGGTCCAGTGCCCAGCACATAACATAACACTCAGTATATTTTTCTGTTTCCTACATCTTTCCAGCCCCCAAGGCAAAGAAACTATAGGCAGAAAGAGGCCTACTGAATCAAGTGTTTATCAGTACTGTGGGGTATAGTAGATAAAACCCTGCACTCGTTGTCTAGAACAAATTCAAATACTGGTGCAGTTACTAACGAGCTGTGTGGTCTTGGGCAAGTGACTTAACTTCTCTGAGCTGGGCTAATCCCTGGTTAGACCTGAGAGCAAAATCTTGCACAAAATGGGCGCTCAGGACTTTGTATCTGCTGAATGATTGCTCATTTCGGGGTTGGGACATCTTTGGGGCAACCTGGCTTGGCCCTGTGTCAGATGATGTGGCCGGCTCAGGGGCGTGGTGGTAGGGTGGATCGCTCTGTGGCTCCTGATAACCCCAATCCTGCCAAAGAGGAGGATCGGATAAAATGGGCCCCTGAGCTGATTGGGAGGGAACTAAAGAGGCCTGGGAGACTGTGGGGAGAAAGACCCGCTGCCTGGGAGTCGACACTCCAAGCTTCTAGTCCTGCTGTTTTAGCCTCTAACTGGCTGTGTAACCTTGGGTAAGTCCCTGCCCCTCTCTGGGGCTTGAGGTCCCATTCGTACAAGGAGAGATTAGTGGTTCTTTATTGTTTTCCCTGCTTGGCTACTGGGTGTTCCCCCAGGCACCTCCAAAGGAAATGTCTGATATGGAGCTCTCCTCCTCCTCTCCAGGCTCAGCTCCCCGCCGCCCTCTTCCTGCCTTGTCCCTGTCTCCATTGCCCTCCAGGTCAAGCAAGCTCAGAGGATACGCCCCTGGAGACTGCCTCTTGGCTGCCTTACGAGGACCCCTCCTTCTCCGCCCCTCTGACCCCCGCGGCCTCTGTGCTCCTCTGCGTCCAATCTGCTCTGCTCGGGCTGCAAGAATCATCTTCCTAAAGCCAGGCTTTGACCAGGCCACTCCCCCGCGCCCTGCTCAGAAATCCTTCATGACCTTGGTCTGGCCCGCTCTTGTCCCCTGCCCTCCATACTCTCGTCCTAGATGGCCTCCTCAGTCCACAGAACAGTCCACAGCCATTCCTCCTTCCCTACCTTTGCCCCTTTCCTCCCTTCCTGAGGGAACATTCTCTGCTTTCCCTCTGCCAAGCTGAACCCACTCATCCTGCAAAACCAAGTTCAAGTCCTCTTCTTCCAAGAAGCTTCTTTTTGTGTGTGTGTGTGTGTGTGTGTGTGTGTGTGAGTGAGGAAGATCAGCCCTGACCTAACATCCGTGCTAATCCTCCTCTTTTTGCTGAGGAAGACCGGCTCTGAGATAACATCTATTGCCAATCCTCCTCCTTTTTGTCCCCCAAAGCCCCAGTAGATGTATGTTGTAGTTGCACATCCTTCTAGTTGCTGTATGTGGGACACGGCCTCAGCATGGCCGGAGAAGCAGTGCGTCGGTGCGCGCCCAGGATCTGAACCCTGGGCTGCCAGTAGCGGAGCGCGCGCACTCAACCGCTAAGCCACGGGGCCGGCCCTCAAGAAGCTTCTTTTGACCTCCAAACTCACACTGGACTCATGGTTCCTTTATGGTAGGCTCCTCCTCTCTGAGATGCATTCAGTCAGCCCTCCCTCCCCGGACTGTCGTGCCAGCTCGATGAGAAATCATGTGTGCAAGTGCCTGGCGTGGCCTAGCACATAGCAGGTGCTCAAGAAACAAATGTTAATGCCCCAGCTTCCTTCTGTCTTACATCCCTTATTTGGCATTTAGGGCATATTGTCTTGTACTTTGTGTAATTAAATATTTACTGTGTGGCAGAGAGCTGTGGGGAAGGCAAAAATGAACTGACTATGGACCCTGCCCTGCAGATGCTCTGTCTACTGGGACGAGATAAGATAGGTCCACAGAGAACTGTTATATAAGATAAGAAATTGTGATCTGGGCAAAAGAGAAGCTTCACTGGAAGAGGGAGGGAGGGGGTGCCTCGTGGAGAACCGGGCAGGATTTGGGGGTGGGGATGTTGTGGAAAGAGCACAGTTCACGGGCCGGCCCCGTGGCTTAGCGGTTACGTGCTCGCGCTCCGCTGCTGGCGGCCCGGGTTCGATCCCGGGCGCGCACCAACACACCGATTCTCCGGCCATGCTGAGGCCGCTTCCCACATACAGCAACTAGAAGGATGTGCAGCTATGACATACAACTATCTACTGGGGCTTTGGGGGAAAAAAAATAAATAAATAAATAAATAAATAAATAATTAAAAAAAAAAAAAGAAAGAGCACAGTTCTTCTAGGTAAAGGGAACAGGGTGAGCAGAGCCAGAAGGTGGTCAGGTGTGGCTTGGGGAGCAGCAGACGAGTTTGGGCTGGCCTACAGGGAGCATGTCTGTCTGACTGTCTGGCACAGTGCTGTTTAATCTTCTTAGTGTGCATTGTGCCAGATAAGAAGTCCATAAGAAGAGGGGCCGGCCCCGTGGCTTAGCGGTTAAGTGTGCGCACTCTGCTGCTGGTGGCCCGGGTTTGGATCCCGGGCATGCACCAACGCACCGCTTGTCTGGCCATGCTGAGGCTGCCTCCTACATACAGCAACTAGAAGGAAGTGCAGCTATGACATACAACTATCTACTGGGGCTTTGGGGGAAAAAATAAATAAAATTATAAAAAAAAAAAAGTCCATAAGAAGAGGGGTTAACAGTGCTTTTCTTTAGAGGTAGAATTACAGGAGATTTTTCTCTTTTGGCTTATCTAAAATTTCTGCCAAGCACATAGACATTTTCCATGGAATAAATGAAGTTTAAATGTTGGCTAGATCAGTGCTTCTCATACTAATTTCCAATCCGTCACAGGTTGATTCTTTGATAAAATACAATAAAAAGGAGGGGCCGGCCCAGTGGCATGGTGGTTAAATTCTCGCACTCCGCTTCGGCGGCCCAGGGTTCACGGGTTCGGATTCCAGGTGCAGACCTACGCACCGCTTATCAAGCCATGCTGTGGCAGGCGTCCCACATATAAAATGAAGAAAGATGGGCACAGATGTTAGCTCAGGGCCAGTCTTCCTCAGGAAAAAGAGGAGGATTGGCAATGGAGGTTACCTCAGGGCTAATCTTCCTCAGCAAAAAAAAAAACAATAAAAATGAATTACTAGAGACGTGTTATTTTAAAGAAAGAGAGAGAGACCATATAAAATACAAGCCCAAATTTTATATTATTAGGTTCAAATTGCTATGAAAGTTTCTGAAGGCCTATTTTCATTTCTCTACTTATATTTTTTAATATTTATTTATTTATTAAGTGTGTGTGTGTGTGAGAGAGAGAGAGAGGAAGATCAGCCCTGAGCTAACATCCATGCTAATCCTCCTCTTTTTTTGCTGAGGAAGACTGGCCCTGAGCTAACATCCGTGCCCATCTTCCTCCACTTTATATGGGACCTGCCACAGCATGGCCTGACAAGCCGTGTGTCAGTGCGTGCCCGGGATCCGAACGTGGGCTTCCAGCAGCGGAGTGCGCGCACTTAACCGCTGCGCCACGGGGCTGGCCCCTCTACTTATCTTGTCGTAGACCAGCAGGGAGTGGTGAACCGCACTAAGAGGAGCTAGAGAGCAGGGGAGGCAGGAATCTGGAAGAGCCTGGGCATATGTGACCACCTCCTGGGACAGGGACTATGTCTCATGTGCCTCCTGTCGCCCCCACAGCGCTGAGCACACAGCAGGCACCTCAGGAGCCCTCACTTCCAGCCAGCTGGCTGCCCTGTGCTGCCACTGCCCACCATGCAGCCCCAGTCAGTCCTGCACAGCGGCTACTTCCACCCCCTGCTTCGGACCTGGCAGGCAGCCTCCACCACCCTCAATGCCTCCAACCTCATCTACCCCATCTTCGTCACGTGAGTCCCCAGGAACGGGCCAGGCCTCTGATGTGCAGGGTGTGTGTGAGTGTGCGTGTGTGTGACTGGAGCAGGCATCTGCGTTGTCACGGGTGGTAAAGTGGGCTGTCAGCTTAGAGCTTAAAGTATTGGAAGTGCCTTACTGGGTTAGGGACAGCAGTTTTAGGAACAAACTTGAAACGAACTAGGAACAGTCTTGAAAAGAACTCAGTCTTCCCATTTGGAAAATAAGAAGAATCACCCTTGCCTGCTATCCTGAGCTTTTGCAATAAGACAGAAGCTGAGAAGGTGTTCTGTAGATTGTAAAGTGCTATGTATTTGTAAGAGGTGGCAGTTGTGATTAATAATAGCAACGGCCGACATTTATTGAGTACTTACTGTATACCAGGTACTATGCTAAGCACCGACATCTATATTATCTCATTCATTGCTGACGGTATTCATATGAGGAAGGTATGGACATTATTGCCTAGAATGTCACCTCCTCGAGGACAGGGATTTTTGTCTGTTCGCTGTTGTGTCGCCAGAGCCTAGAACAGTGCCTGGCATATAAAAGTGCTCAATCAATGTTTGTTGAATGAATGATGAATCCACCCAGGCCACAGATGAAGGGCCTGAGGCTCCAAGAGATGGTACCTCTTGGCCAAGCTCACCCAGCCAGTAAGTGGCTGGGATGCCAAGGGCCTTCTGACTTTGGAGCCAAGTTCTTAACCACTGGCTCCTTCCGTGATGACTGTTCTTGTGGTACAGTTGCTCTTGTTGTCACTGTCATTCTTGCTGTTCCTGTTGTTATTTCAGGCCCTGGGCTTGGCCGGGCAGGGGAGCCAGACACTGGGTCCCATCCTCCTCCACCATCTCCACTTCCATAGTCCTTCCCCGCTCCCCCATCCCTCGGTCACCCCCTCACCACTGGTCCTTCCCACAGCTCCCAATCTATAGCCCACCCCCCACTCTTGCAGGGATGTTCCTGATGACGTACAGCCTATCGCCAGCCTCCCAGGAGTGGCCAGGTAGGGGACATGGCGGTGGGGAGGGCAAGGGGATGATGGAGGGAGAGATCTCACAGGTGGAGGTGCCAGGAAGCAGAAGCAGACTCGAAAGGTGGAAAATCTGGAGAGGCTGACCTCCGCTCAGTAGAGAGAAGGGTTTTCTCGGGGCCAAAGTTGTTCCTCAACAGAAGAGGCAGCCTTGTAAAGTAATGAGCTACCCACCACCAGAGGCATCACAGCAGAGGCTGTTGCAGAGGAGAGCTGAGCTTCAGAAGGGAGTTCAGTAAGAGAACCTTGGAGAGGCCTTCCACAGCTGAAGTCCACAGCTCTGCTCCTTGGGGCCTCGGTTTTCCCATCTGTTTGGTGGGTTTGTCCCTGCCCCTCCCTGTACTGTGGGGCTTGAGCCCTCCTGGTGCCATGTGCAACTTGGCTCTTAACAGAGGCACAGCGTGGAGGGGTAGGGAGGGACCCTTGCCTGGGACCTCCCTCATTTCAGCAGCCCTTTGACCTGTGACCTCCATGCAGGTATGGTGTGAACCGGCTAGAAGAGATGCTGAGGCCCCTGGTGGAAGAGGGCCTGCGTTGTGTCCTGGTGTTTGGCGTCCCCAGCAGAGTTCCCAAGGTGAAGAATGGGAGGAGGATGTCGGGGGCGGGGGGGCGGTTGGGTGAGGGTGAGCTGAGGAGCCACGCTGACCCTTGTGCTGGCTCTGGGGCCACAGGTGAATGGACATGGCCCCTGCCCTTAAGACAGCACCCCTGTAGAGTCAGGAAGCTAAGTAGGACTGCAACACTCTGACTGGGCGAGTCAAGTCCCCTCTGTAAAATGGAGACAGTCCTCACTGTGCTTCCTCGTCCAGGGGCTGTGACGATGATAAAAGGAGAGGGCCGGGGCCGTGCTCTGATGGCTGGCCACCGTGCCTCCTGAAGGCTTTATGTAACGGACACACCGCTCTGTCCTTCCCCTGCCTAGGACGAGCGGGGCTCCGCAGCTGACTCCGAGGACTCCCCGACTATTGAGGCGGTCCGTCTGCTGCGTAAGACCTTCCCCAGCCTCCTGGTGGCCTGCGACGTCTGCCTGTGCCCCTACACCTCACATGGTCACTGCGGTGAGCGCCCTCCCTCCACGAGCCCTGTGGCCACCCACGGTTCTCCCCACGATGGGGACGAGCCAGAGCCCAAGATGCTCCCCGACACCCAGCTGTCTGTCCTGCAGGGCTTCTGAGCGAGAATGGGGCACTTCAAGCCAAGGAGAGCCGCCAGCGACTGGCAGAGGTGGCACTAGCCTATGCCAAGGCAGGTGAGTGAACCAGCCACCAGCCGGGATGAGCGCCTCCCGGTCAGGGAGGTGGGAGTGTGGATAGGAGGGTCCAAGAGTTCTGAAGGCCACCCTCTGCCTCTCAGGATGTCAGGTGGTAGCCCCGTCGGACATGATGGACGGACGTGTGGAAGCCATCAAGGATGCTCTGATGGCACATGAACTTGGCAACAGGGTAGGGGCAGGGAGCGTGGGGAGGGGCATTGGGAGGTGAGGAGAGAGCCTGGACCAGGCCTGCCCCCATATCTGCCAAGAATCGCAGAACTGAAGACAGCGCTGGATGAGGCCTTTGGGATCCGCTCAACCTCTGCACCTCAGATGGGGAAATCCAGGCCCAGAGCTCCAATGGGACTAGACCAGAGGCCCAGGTCCTTTCTCTCCCCGTCACCTCACCCTGGGACATCTGAAAGGGCTGCCTGAGCCTCGACCCCCATTGTCTCCCTGTAGGTCTCTGTGATGAGCTATAGTGCCAAGTTTGCCTCCTGTTTCTATGGACCTTTCCGGTGAGTGGGGATAGGCAGGGGTCCGCTGTTAGATCCCTGACCCATTAGCCCAAAGCTGGAGCCCCCACTGATGCCTCTGCTTCCCAGGGATGCGGCTCAGTCAAGCCCAGCTTTTGGAGACCGCCGCTGCTACCAGCTGCCGCCTGGAGCGCGAGGCCTGGCCCTCCGAGCGGTGGTGAGTGACCAGGGCTTGAGCCCCGCCCAGCCTGTCCCCTTCCCACCTCTCATCCCGGGCACTGCCCACACCATATGTCTTCCCTTAGGACAGGGATGTGCGGGAAGGAGCTGACATGGTCATGGTGAAACCGGGAATGCCCTACCTGGACATTGTGCGGGAGGTGAAGAACAAGGTGAGCACAGGCAGAGACAGGGGGCTCAGGGAGATGAGAGAGCTTGTCTGCACACTCGGGGACCTTAGATTGGGGGACTGCAGAATCTCAGAGTTGGAAGCAATCTGCCTCTGAACAGGAATCTCCCCCTCCCCGTCCCTGCCCAGCAACCACCGTGGGCTTCTGCACCAGGGCTCGCAGGAGCCTTTGAACCGCTCTGCTGGAGCAGTTCAAGAATGGGCCAGGCTGCCAGCAGCAATGACTCAGGGCATGGTGCTCAACATGGTCACAGGTTGGGCAGAGAGGAAGGGACACTCCCAGAGGCATCCCCCCTCTCTACGTCAACCTGTCTGCCCACCACTGCTTCTCTGCAGCACCCTGAGCTCCCTCTTGCCGTGTACCACGTTTCTGGAGAGTTTGCCATGCTGTGGCACGGAGCCCAGGCTGGGGCGTTTGATCTCAAGGCTGCCGTCCTGGAGGCCATGACCGCTCTCCGCAGAGCAGGTAACCAGGTGGAGGGGGGTGTTGATGTTTGCCACAGGGACAAATAGGCACTTTGCCCAGAGAGGGAAGTGAAGTCATGGGACAGCCTGGAGTCTTAGGCCTGGAAATACCAGTGATCTAAACAGACACAGGTTGAGGAAGAGATGTGGAACTGCAGAACAGAACATGGAACAGTGAAGGAGGCAGAGCCCTCTCTTACTTTTTGGTTTTGAGACCTTGGCCAAGGCACTTCTTGGAACTTCAGTGCCCTCATCTGTAAACTAGGGATGTGATAGCCGGTGCATGGTGGTCATGAGGATTCAGTAAGCTGATAGGTGTCAGTGGCATATGCTTATCATTCCATACATGGGAGCTGGTTTTGTTGGGGTAGCACACAGCGCAAGAAGGGGATTGCAGCTCACCTCTTTCCCCCACTGTGCATTTTACTCATTGGCAGACTGAGGCCCAGAAAGAGAAAATGACTTCCCTGTGGTCACACAATGTACAGAGAGCTAGAACTGACCAGAGCTGGGCTCAGTCTTATGTTGGGACGCCCCCGGGCTGTGCCTTCTTCCTTCCCTGGCCTTCGTCTCCCAGAAGGTGTGTCCAGAGCTGATACCCCGCCCCTCCCTCGCTGCCTGCTTCTCTGCCCGCACAGGTGCGGACATCATCATCACCTACTACACACCTCTGCTGCTGCAGTGGCTGAAGGAGTGATGGAGGGAGTGTGCAAGACCCGAGAACTTTAAGAAGGTCCCTTGGGGCCTTGGAGAAGTGAAAACTATAGTAAATGCTGCTTTTAGAACTGTGTCCTCGTGCCCTCTTCCTGCTCACATGCCAGGTGGTTTCTGCCAGCATGCCAAATCTTACCACTCACAGCCACATCCTCACGGGCTCTCCCAAGCTTCCCCACCCCTCCCCTGGGTCAGCCCTGAGGCTCACCTCTGCCAGCCCTAGCTCCTTTTTCTGGTGTGGCTTCAGCTTGAAAGCCACCGGGAGTCATGAGTGCAGGCTTGGTGGGGCATGGGAGAGGGGCTTGGAGCGCTAGTGGGAGAGGAGGGCAGTTGGATCTTGGATCCTCGGAAGCCCTGGAAAGCCTAAGGCCTCTGGCAGCAGAGCTGGGTGCTGTGACCAAGGCCTAGTTTGGCATCCACAGGTTTAGAGTTGAGATTTGCTGCAATTCCACTAGAAGGCGATGCCCACACAGGCCAGTGGTTGCCAGGCTGCCTGAGATCTGTTCTGTGAGCTGTAAACCCAGAGAAGAATTACTCATTAACGAGCAGAAACACTGCCTGAGGATCAAAATTCAGAGGCAAGGACAAAGTTCCTGATTGTTGGAGATGCCACCACCAAAAAGGCTCTTTATTGAAGAGAGATTTTTTTGAAAATGTTGGCTCCCTGCCCAGGCATGGTGCTGGGTACTGGGGATCTAGCAGGACAGACCTCAGCTTGTTTCTCTGTGTGGAATCTATACAAGGAGAATGGGGGAGACAGACAACAAGAAAACAGACAAAGCAGTTAACAAATTGTAATAGATGCTTTGAAGGAAAGAGGATCTGACAGAGAATAACAGATGAGGGGCCTCTCTAGAGAGGGTGGTCGAGAAGCCCTCCTTGAGGTTGAGGGACTAGGAAAGATCCATACAAAGAGCAGAGGGAAGCACACTGGAAGCTACGAGAATGATACTAAGTCTGCAAAGATCCTGCGGTGGGAGGAACTTGGCGGGGTTGCTGGAAGCAGGATGAGAAGAAGAAGGTGGCTGACAGGACAGGAGGCAGGAAAGGTAGATCCTATACCTTGTAGGAAGCTTGGGTTTTATTTTGCATCTGATACAAAGCCGTCTGAAGGATCTTAACCAGAGTTATGTGTGATAAAATCATTTTCCCACATTCTGCTGCTATAAACAAATGGAGGGTCAAGAGAGACAGTCCAGGGGCTGGCCCGGTGGCGCAAGCGGTTAAGTGCGCACGCTCTGCTGCGGCGGCCTGGGGTTCGCGGGTTCGGATCCTGGGCGCACACTGACGCACCGCTTGTCAGGCCATGCTGTGGCGGCATCCCATATAAAGCAGAGGAAGATGGGCATGGATGTTAGCCCAGGGCCAGTCTTCCTCAGCAAAAAGAGGAGGATTGGCAGATGTTAGCTCAGGGCCGATCTTCCTCACAAAAACAAAGAGAGTCTGGTTGAGAGGCTATGGCAGACCCCGGTGAGTAATGACGTGGCCTGGACCAGGGTGGTGGCAGTGGAGAAAGGAGGAAGCATATGTATTCAGGATCCATTTCGGAGACAGAATTAGCTGATTTTGCCGAAGCTTTAAATCCATCGGGGGCAAGGGCAAGGGAAGGGGAGGAAACACGGGTGCCTTCCTGGGTTTCTGGCTTGAACAACTGAATGAGTGGTCTCAACTCGTTCTTCTCAGACTGGCACGACATGATGTTTTCCCCTAGTGAAAGTGAAGGCCCATTTAAGGAGGGGTCAGTTTGCAAGTCCACCTGCCCATCTGCATAGGGACAGGGAATCCCAACTTGCCAAAAAGCAAGTTCAGTCTGGACCTTAAAGCAACACAACCTGTTTTAAAATTTAGAATTATAGGGGCTGGCCCGGTGGTGTAGTGGTTAAGTTTGCCTGTTCCACTTCGGCAGCGGGGGGTTTGCCAGTTTGGATCCTGGGTGTGGACCTACCTACTGCTCGTCAAGCCATGCTATGGTGGCATCCCATATAGAAGATCTCCAACTATGATACACAAGTATGTACTGGGGCTTTGGGGAGAAAAAAGAAAAAGAGGAAGATTGGCAATAGATGTTAGCTCAGGGCCAATCTTCCTAAAAAATAAAAAATTTTTTAAAAAGTTGAAAAAAATGATAATAAAATTTCGAATTATAAACTCCAGCAGCTCCTACAGTCAGACCGGTGCCCTCTGACTCCTAGTAGTCTTCCCCAGCAGTGTGGCCAATTTAACTGAAGACCTGATCTCAGCCTTTTGGGAGGTGGTCAGCCAAAATCAGGGCCTGAAGAGTTGCAAAGCTTCACCTTCCAGGGAGCCTGAGCCCGGATCTACCACCTAGGGGCCCGAAGCACTCATCAGAGATGAGCCACTGATGGGCCTCAGGCTTAGCCCAGACCAGAACCTTTGGCCATCTTAGCTTCTTGGCTTCCTGTCTCCTGGCCCTTGAGCTCCTTTCTGGTTAGTGAGGAAGGGAAGGTATTTCAAGGCCATCTCACACTCATCATTGCCAAGCAAATATTGGGCTTGGCTCTCTTCCAGGCGCAGAGACAGAGACATACACAGCCCTTTGGGTACAAATGTTACTAAACCAAAGTGGATCCGCCTCTTGGTGAGTTGAAATCAAAGCCTTCACCAGAAGTAGTTGTCACATAAAATTAAGTTTATTTGCAGCAAATAAGGAGCCCACGGGGAATTACTTCCAAAGCTGTGGCTCCCCCAGCAAGGGAAAGTAGGGGCCTTTGATTTGGGGCGGGGGGGGGGGGGGGGGGTGAATATTCAAAAGGGAGAGGTGAGTATTCGCTTGTGCAGGCTCCCACATACATCGAATGTTATGGTAATAAGGCCTAAGTTCCCTCTGGGGTGGAGATCTTAGCATTAAAATGAAGCAGAGGTAATCTCTTGGGCACTTATTGGCCTGTCTGCAGAGGCTTCGCTCTTGCAGTGGGCTTTGGACCGGTTCAGGGCGGTTGGTTATTGCATCTCTTAACTAAAAAAACAATTTGGAAAAACAGTTAAGTGCTTCCAAAACCTCCTTTGAGTTCCTCGGGGCAGTTAGTTGGTGACACAAACAAGCAAACAAAGCTGTGTCCAGACCCGCCCCCTCCCCTGGGGTGGTGATGGTAAACTGAGTGGAATGAGGATGAGCTTCCCTGAGGAGAACCAGGAGTCAGACAGGTCACCAATGACCAGTGACAGGTGATGTGAAGGAGGTCTCCAGGACCTGGTCTGGTTTGAAGGAGCAGGAAATGCTACCCTGAGGGACTGACATTTAAGCCTAGACCTGAAGGATGAGCAACCAAGCTAAGACTTGTCTGGGGAAGAGCATTCCAGGCAGAGGGAACAGCCGTGCAGAGGCCCTGGGGCTGGAATGAGCTGGAAGAACACAAGGCTGGTGTGGCTGGAGCACAGGGAAGGACAGAGGAAGAGGTGACCTGAACTCAGTAGAGAGAGACCAGGGCCAAACCCTGCAGGGACAAAGGCCATGTTAGCTTTTCAGATTTTATTCTAAGAGAAAGGGAAGCCATTTGAAGGCTTTTAAACAGGGGAGTGACTCGTTCTGATTTGCGTTTTATAAAAGCATTTTGATAAGATTGGCAAAGTACAGATGAGAAATGTGGCCTGGGCTACAGTGGTGACAGTGGGGACAGAGAAGTGAATGGATTTAGGAGGTAGATTAGATGTGAAGGATGAACTCGGCTTGAGCTCCTGGGTGGCTGATGGACCATTTACTGAGATGAGGAAGCTTGGTACAGGGTCTGGGTGGAGGGGGAATGCTAAATTTAGCTGGGTTTCCAATGAGGAAGCTGTATCTAGAGAGCTTATATGACTCACTCAAGGCAACTCAAGAAGTTTGTGGCAGAACTGGGTCTAGACTCCCAGTCACTGAAAAACAGCAGAGTTGGGATTTGAACCCATATAGCCAAACTCCAAGGCCTCTAACCTAACCACTGTGCCATACCACCTCCTAATAAACAGTAGCAAAATTATGAGTCTAACATGATGCTATTATTAGCTCCAGTAATGGGGTGGACCAATGAGCTGAGTTGCCTTCAGGCATGGTAGTCTCTGTGGGTGGCGCCCTCTGGAGTCAGGATTTATCACCTGGGGTGCCAGCCTGGTGTCCTCTCCAGTCCCTCCTGTATTTTGTCTACAGAGGCAATAATGGCCAGGTAGGCAGCTGGAAGAGTTTGGGTGGTCCTGGGAAATCTGGCTCCTCCACGGTCCCCATCTCCTGCAGTGCACCCTGCTCTTGGCTAGTGGTAATTCTATCCTCGTTCAGAGAACTCAGATTTCACCACCAGCAAGGCATATTATTCTGAGACTTCCAGGTGTCACGTCCCATTGGCAAGCATTAAGGGCCTCTCTTAACAAGACTTGGTTTTCTTATTTCCCTCTCAACGTGCCAGCTTGGACCGTAGCTTGTCTGTTTCTTGTGGGTCCCTCCTGGAGGCCCCAACAGATAGCCAGCACATTCCACCATCCTCACTTTTTCCTTTACTAAGATCCCTAAAATTACAACCTCAGTGGACATATGGTTGAGAGTCACAAAAAACAACAGGCATTTTAACCAGCCACTTGACTACCAATTCCCCAACTAGGGAAGGAGGAATCCTGACATGCTCCATACCCCACGTGGACTCTGCCAATTCCACATATCAGGGCCTATGATTTGGAACACCCATACTCCATATTGTTCTGGGTACTCTTGATTGCAAATGTCAGAAATCCAAGTCAATAGCAAAAAAGGAAATGATTGGTTTTCATAACTGGATTGTGATAAGGTCAGATGTGGTGGGGTCTAGGGTCAAAGGCTCTCATGGAAGACTCTGTTCCTTCCCAGCTCTTATCTATGTTTGCCTCAGCTTGGCTTTATTCTATTCGAAGATGGACTTTTGCCACTTGACAGCAACATGATCCTTAAGTGGTCCTTAAGACTTACAGTCCCAGACAAAGATCCTTTTTGTCCCATCATTCACATGACAAATCTCTGGAGGTCTCTGATTGGCCCTGCTCAGGTCACATGACCAGCCTCCTGGTTCAGTCACTGTAAACAATGGCATGGAAGATATAGCACCGTGATTGACA